TCATGATCAGCATTTGTAATGTTCTTTGTGCTCGGAAAATTTCAGAACATTACACATGATCTATGGAAAGTTATGGGAGGTCCGTTACTTCTGACGAGCACTGCATATGAAGAATACTGAGACAACAGAGTGGATACTGTAGTTTATTTTCTTGTTCTTAATGCTACGAAGAGTCCCCAGACATGAAGATTTAATTTCATCTGTTGCTTCGTACAGCTTATTGAACTCATCGAAAAGGAGAACAACACGATTCTTATTATCATTGGAAGATGCCCACTTAGTTCGATGAAATTCATTGCAAAATTCTTCTGCAGAATTGATTATTGGATTTTCTGGAGAACCGAGTAATTCGGGTGCATCACGTTGCCATACTGAGTGCTCTCCAAAAAGTGTTTTATTCTGTGAAATTAACGTGCTCAAAAGATGCACTGTTTCAAAAAACCAAGGATAAAATGAAAGAAAAGCAGATATGTGACATGGTCACAATATCACGAGGGTTAACTTACTAGATGCAAACAAAGTTGTTTTTCAACTGCACCTGAACTTGGAGTACCCGCGTAGACTTGCCAGATGCTCTAGGTCCATATAGAGCCACAGATTGACCTTCTTGAATCTTCTCAAGAAGTGGACGACCCTCCTCTGTTGGATCCACGAAATATACAGCGCGAACTATACTTGGTTGAATGGCACCATTTCCTTTTCTTCACAAGAAAATTAATGAAAATACAAGGCAATTATTGAATGACGTAAAGCAAAGACACCTCTGTATAATCTTACGTTCTTCCTCTGCCTTTCTTTTTTTCTCGCGCTCTAATGTTAGCGAGGCACAAGTTAATAAATGAAATTATTACGGAGAAAGCAGCATAGGTTTAGAATATTCGAATGCAGTCGTGTTACTTACTCTGCTCTTCGCCCTTAATGTCTTTAACTGACTGCGATTGTTTTTGCTGGCCCACCTGGCATTCCCATCTTTCAAGATCTTCTGGGCTTAACTTGAGCAATGCTGAGCTGGCAACCCTATTTCTTTTAATATATCAATGTTGTCGTAAAGAAATAGCTCATCTTTTTTAGACTCCAGAAATAATCCTTCGGACTCCATTTATTAACTACTTCGACAGACGGAAGGGGATAAAACTTTTTTACATTTCATCTTTTTAGTTATATAATCAGATTGTCGTACGCATGATCACGGACAGTGCTGAATCACGTGGTCTTAACACAAGAAAATAAAAAATGTAAAAAATATGGAAAACAGATGTCAAAATCTAGCTTGAAGTATTAATAAAAAAGATTGGAAAAGCAATTTTACATATAATTTCTTAATCTAAATGATAAAATAATCTTTAATATCAATTTTTCATGATTATATAAGTATTGTTACCGTTTTAATATGACTTTAGATTTTGTCACAAGAGTACACGTGATAGAGTCAGGTGGAAGAGTTGACTTATTAAATAACTTTAAGTTGGAAGAGTTTACTAAGTTATCTAAAGATAGATAATGTATGTTCATTTTGTTGATCAGCTAGAATAAGACCAAAAAGATTCAAAGATAATATTATATCTTTTATAATTCAATTTATAATAAGTTGAGTATTTCTTTTAAAGTTTGGTTTACAAACAAGTAAGATATAATTTTCTTTTATTAATTCAATACTATTATTGACTTCGCAATATAGATGAGAGGTCAAATACAAGAATGTATAAGATAATATAACTTCATAATAGTGATGAGAGATTATAAAACAAATATAAGAATAACTTTACAATTAAGATGAGAGATTATGAAAAATACTATTGTTACCATTTTTATTGATGTTAAGTTCTTGATGTAATAATCACGTGTTTTTATTAAGATAAGAGTAAAAACGA